CCCAAGCGCTAAACATAGTGAAGGATTCAAAGGACAATCAGCTTTAGACATGATCAAACTTTCAAGATACACAGGAAGGTTTGGTAAGTCCCATATGCATTAGGAACAAGTTATTATGAGAATTAGTGATATAGGTGACAATTTCCAGAAAAGAGGATGGCTAAAATACAGGCAGACAGCAATAATACATGTAAGCAACCAACAGGAAAGCTCAACTCAACATTTACTGAACACCTACTACAAGAAGGCACTGTTGAGGAGTTTATCATTTAATAGGGGACACAAACAGGAAACAATAATACAAGCCCAGAATATGTTAAGTGCCACAAGATAAATACAAAGTGCCAGAACTCATTCATTTAACAATGATTAGCATGTAGGCATTGCTATCGATAGAAAAACAAAATTATATCTGCCACCATAACATAAATTGACATCAAGAAGAGGTATCTAAATTGTGTTCTGAGAGGAGAGGATGTTATCAACATGGGTGGAAGAGAGGATTGCTGAGATCTCACCTAAATCAATTTGGCTGGAGAGCTATTAGGTCCTTCCCATTAATATCAGTAGCTTGAGATACATGGGCTTAGGTCAGTTTCTATCAGTGCTGACAAAGGAAATCTGAAAAACAATGATCCTCCACACTTTGGCTGGAATATAGAATAAGTGAGGAATGTGAGAAGAAAAAGCTGGAAAGGAGGCAGGAATCTGAATTGTGAGGACTTCAAATGCTTTCTTTCCCTTAAACTGTAAATATCACCAGGTGGAACCCAAGATCCCAGGCACCTCACAGCACAGGAAAGTCTGTTTCTAAAATTCATAGGACCAAACAGTACTACTCAGAGGAATACACGTGCTGTTCTGTAAAGCTATGAAATGAGCTAGCAATTCTCCTGTGCTATAGAGCTCTCTCAGTTTTTAGGAGTCAGTGCCAAGATGTGTGAGCAGGATCAGGTTTATCCTTATCAAATCTGAAAGAACATCTAACCTACTCCAAAATCAGGAATAAAAATTGATAATATTTGAGTCATAAGCCTCTTGAGGCCAGTCAGTGAGGTCTATAAATAGCGTGTGATTTATTTCATTTGGACCCTACTTAAGCCTTTGTCTATTTAACCTGCATTTGGTAAAGCAGCACATGGCTAAAGGCAGATGAGGATAAGTGATGGTGACAAAGACCCGATTTTTTAAAGGAGTCACCAAACAATCCCACTTATTCCACTTAGAAAGCCAAAGACAAGAAGGGGGCGCAGGGGGAGAGATGTAAAAAGAAAATTACTTCCAATAATGTCATTTAGTTTCATTCATCTCTTTGGTCTTGTGGCTTGTCTGTACTTCAACAGCTCTAAAAATAGATTTGATATTATACGTTCTTAATGAGATCCAATGTATTTTACCTATATTACTACATTCAACAAGTAATAGAGCCATTCAGAGGTAACCAGAAGAGAAATGATTCACTTAAGGTCACTTAGCCAAGAATCGAACCATTCAGCAGCTCACAACAGAGGATAAACTGCCCATTACTTGAGTAAAGGGGGAAAGGGGTTCTCTCACACCCAGAGAGGAAGCAGGATTATCTTTCCCCAACCTTTAACATTAACTTTTGCTGTTTTCTAACAGGCAGGCCTAACGACCATTCTTCCAATTAGCAGGTCTGGGGATGCTTTCTAGTAATAAGGGCCTGAGCACAACTCATACTTCTAATTCGAGCAATAAATATCATGTGATACATAATGCAGCTTTCCTTCTTCCCAGTGAAGTCCACCACATTAGACAAAGCCCAGTGAACTTCTGTGTATTTCCAAATGGTTTACTCCTTTTCTACCTCAGTAATATTAAGGCTAATTAAAACCAAAGTTGGTGACGGAGAGAGAAGCCTGGCGTGCTGCAGTCCATGGGGTCGCAGAGTCGGACACGACTGAGCAAACTGAACTGAAAACCAAAGTCAGAAGTTAAGAAGCAGTCCCACAAACTAGGTACATACTGGGCCAATGTAAGACCACAAAAGTCATCTGATGGTTAAATTATTCACCACCAGGAATTATAAATTCAGTTGTCTCCATCAAGAGTTTACAGTGTATATTAAAGACTGAATCCTATGAGGTAGGTCAGCTGGAGAAGCACTTTTTGTGAACCTGGTCCCAGGCAGGGGTAGGAGTAACAACGGGGGTTATATTTTGAATATTTAATTATTCTACCACCAGTTTTATTTCCTAGGAAACTGAAAAAGTGCAAGAAAAAAAGGAAGGAGAAATCAAAATCAAAGAAAGCAGAGGGATGAAGATTAAGAAATTGGTGAAACCCTGTTTCCTTTCTTTGATAGAGTACACTCTTGAATATCAATTGAAAGTTATCCTGTTAACCATTAAGTACCAAACTGGTACAGGCAGCACAATCACAAATATTTGAGTACTGAAGCTGACTCATAAAAATCTAAAAATATTTCATGCTTTAGGCTTTCAAAATACCATCAGTTTAACCCCTCCTTTCATCATGTTATTTTGAAACTAATGTAAAAAGTGTTTTTAATCTAGTTCTGGAAACTATAATTAAAATGCAGTGAATACAGAAAGCCACGTGCAATTAGATTTTAAGGCATTATCATTCCTACACCTGATCCTGGATTTAGTAAATCGGTTGTTAAGTATCTGTGCTATCTATAACACTAAAATAAATATATATGTTTATGAAACAGTTGCGTAAGAATCTTAACTGGTAGCCCTTTGAGGGAATATCACAATTTGTATATGAAAAGCCACTTTTAAAACTGATCCAGATGGTTAGCTTATTAAATCTTCTCTGTTAAATTTTCTAAGAATCCCACTTAATAATGTCCCTGAAAAGTCTGAAATATCTTTTCAGATCAGACAAGTACAATCATGTAAAATTAAAATGCACAGGAAGCCAGTTATATTTAGGAAGAGACTTTTTTTCCCATATCCATTCAAAGACATTAAATGGATTACACTGTACTTTAATTCTTTCAAAAAAAACATTCTAGTTATTTTATTTTATTTTTGGCTGTGCCGTGCAGCTTGTGGATTCTTAGTTCCCTGACCAGGGATAGAACTAGGGCCCTCCGCAGTGAGTCCTATCCACTGGATCACCAGGGAAGTCCCTACTTATTTTTTAAATTAATGGAAATGGAAGGAGAATTTAACAGCCAATTTCAAAGAGATACCAAGTTACAATTTTTTGCTATGCCGTACTCCTCCTGTTGTAAGTATAGGTATTGTACATATGTAAAAATATGTACTATATGTGTAATTCCATTAGGATATTTTACGAAAATAACCCCTACAAAATTTGCAGAATATCAAAAGCTTGGTTACAAAAGTTTGATAAGTTGTACTGAAAAGTTACCAATATGTGAAAATCAAATAAAAACTCATATCAGTATCCCTTAGAAGGCAACCACACGTGTGCTTGCACACACACACACACACACACACAAATCAGAAACTACAAGAGCTTTTTTTTTTGCCCTCTAATTTCCAAGACTGCTGGAGAAGTGCAGTGAATTATGCAAAGGACAGCAAATATTAAGCTGCCTCTGTGTTTACGCTACTGTACTTCCATTTTTAAAACATGCATCTCAACTCCCCAGACACCATCATCCACAGAAACCATGCAGCTATCCAACAGACTTTCAGTGTCACCATTTATTATTTATAGCATTAAATGGGGGAAGTAGCTCTGATGTCACCGACCCTACCCAGTGGAATCACTGACTCAATAAACATTTTCACACTGGAGAAAACCTGGCTAGGAAAACATTTTGCTATGTTAACTAGATTCTTTCATCTTTCTTCTCAACCCTAGGGTAGAAGAGGTTACTGTTTGGAGAGATACAAAGAAACTGTCAAGGTTTCCACAGGAAGAAAACCTGGGCATGTTCATTTGCTGAGGCAAAGACTTCCCCCTCCCAACTCTCCAGAGCCCAGTTTGATTTCCCTAATGTTCAAACTGGCAGTAACAGCTGCCATATTTTACTTTTTGAACCAAATCATCCACCAAGTAGCAAATTTTTCGTTTCTACTAGCCACTCTCTCGTGGTCCTGTTTTTAAAAACCCATTCTGGATCCACGTCCTAAGGCGGAAAGGGGCTGGGGTGTTGGGTGGGTTCAGGGAGTCTGGCCTGGCTACCAAAGGCTTCTAAACAGAAGAGTGATCGCTTCCCCTGGGCCGTAGGCTCCCCCTTTCCTTTTTTTTCTAGAAGAAAGAACTGGCGGCAGTGATGAGGACAGCCCCTCCCCCCTCCTCCCCAATTTCTCAAAGCAGCTCAGGAAAACGTGAAGTTATAGTCTCTCTTTCCAGGGAGATGGAATCCAGAGTACCTAGGGCCTTGCTCTGCAAACATCCCTCTCGGCCGAGTAGGAAACCCTTTGTCCGAGAAGCCGGACACCACAGGGGTCCGGGAAAGAGGCCCCTTTTCGGTCACAGCCTCCAACCGAGAGCTCTCCACCTCCACCCCCATAGGGCCGATGCCGGCACCAATACAGCCCCAGGTCATGAAGAGGGTGCTGAGACCCCTTCCGGGATGCTGAGGCCACGGCCCTGTCGATCTACGCTGTACCCTCTCCCATCACCATCTCACTCGGCCTCAGTGGGGCTGGCAAGAGCTATGCAGGCCTGGACCGGAGAAACAGGGAAGAAAAAAAAATACCTTCCAAAGGGGGAACGGGATGCTAGAGTGAGTGTGAGCTAAGACCACAGCCTGAGCGAGCGAGGGTCGTTCGAGGGACGGGCCCAGAGATTGGAGGGAGGGTGGGAGGAAAACCGAGGGGCATGGAGGGGGCCGGGCCAGGTCCGGCCTGCGAGTTCGAGGGATCCGGAGGAACCGCACCGGGCCAGAGGCCAGGCAAGGCGGGGGGTCCAGGTCCGGGCCGAGGCAGCAGGGAAGGGCCAGGGGTGGCCTCGCGCCGGACGTTGAGGTGGGCAGGCCCGCCCGGGGCCGGTCGGACGGAAGAACGGACGGTCCAGCGGGCCGCACTCACCATGAGCTCGATGGTCTTGTCCTCAATCACCGAGTCGGGCTCCATGGCGGCCCCGGCGGCCCCGCCTCGCTCTCCCCGCGCAGCAGCGAACGGCCCGGGCGGAGGAGGCGACGGCGGAGGCGGCAGAGGCGGAGGCGGCTCTCGCACCCACTCTCGCTGCCAGCCCGCCCGGGCCGCCGGCAGCTCCGCCCTCCCCCTCGGCGAACGCAGTACGCAGAGCGAGGACTACAGCTCCCGGCAGGCGCCGCGGGGCCCCGCAGAGCGTTGTGGGAACGAGAGTCCGAAAGCAGGCCACTCTGCTGGCTGCTCGAAGCGGAATTCGGTGCGAAAAGCAGCACTGCACTGAGAATGCGAGACTTGCAGACCTAAAGAATTAAGGGCTCTCTCAAAGTAGGGCCTCGGCAGCGCCCCAACTACATGTCCCAGAAAGCCCTGCTCTCGGGTTCTCCTTCCGGCTAGCTTCTCCTGACTTCCTGGCAGCCCGAGGCTACCCAGACCGGCACCGAAACTCCGAGGCAACTCTTCACTTGTCGGAGATACTGCGTGCGCGACCGATTTCCGCACATGCGCGTTCGATGTCTGCAGCGCCCAGTCGACGCTGAAGTAGCGGCGCGGCTGGTCCGCTAGCGTTTGCGATAGGGTGAAGTGTGGGCGACAGGTGGGTTCGACGTGCGACAGGAGGAGGTGGTCTTGGGGCTCAGGCGTGGGAGAGGGGCCAACGAGCGGGAGAATCTCAGGCAGAGGGGTAGGCTCTGAGAGTATAGGCGTCCTAGGAGTGAGTGTTAGGAAAGTTAGTAGGGGAAGAGAAGGTTTATGGTCTGTATGCCCCACGTACGGGGGGAACTGAGAAATGAAACGGGATCTGTGTATATTGAGCCCCTTTAATTCATTTTTCAGAAAATATGTTTTTAAACTTCCAGCCTCTGCTGGGTACCAGGGTAGGCACTGAAAATTCAACTCTGAACCTTACAGACAAGGCCTCTCTGCTCAAGGAGCTTAATTCTAATGAGGGGAAGACAGGCGTTAATCGCTAGAGTGACAGGTGCTAAGAAGGAATACAGCTGGAGACTCCTTCCAGTGAATTCTGCCTTCAGCTCTGTGTGAACTTTGTCAAGTCTGTCAGTACCCTCTAACCAAAGGGGAGCAAGAGCACACCGATAGCTGAACAAGTTGAGTTTACTACTGGGTGCAGGAAGGGAGGACAGGCCCCATGAAGAACGGTAGAGCCATCTCAGGAGTTGTCGGGTGATTTGGAAGAGGATTTAAGGAAGTAGGGCTTCATTCTGGATAAGATGCTTTCAGGAAGTGGGGTAATTCCCTGATTAGGTATCTCGATAAACCTTACCTAGAAAGAAGAAAGGCTAGAATGAGACTAAAGCTCTAATTGGTATAGAAGCAAGAGTCCCTCATTAGCCAGGTTGGGGGATGTTTGGTCACTTTTTATGGTTTGGACAATGTATATCTTTTATCTCTATTCAAATGTAATTAAGGAGTGGTATTGCTTTTGTATTGATCTCTCATGGTCACAGAATGGCTTTGTCTAACGTTAATTGTTCTGCGAGATTATATTTAACAGAGGAACACAAAGCCTAGCTAAGACAGCCAGGTTTATCATTTAATAGCATTACTACCGGTCCGATTGTGTCAGGCCAGCTTCCAGATGTCGGCCTTTCTCAAGTGTTTTGCATTCTCTGCACCTGTAATGTGAAGGAACTAGATGACCTAGAAATTGTTCCATTTCCAAGGATCAAGTTATTAGAGTAATTTATATGCAGGCAGGACACAGTGTAAAGTTTTGTGCAGGTAGATTTTGAGTTTCATAGTCCTTATCTGCTGCTTTTCACCAAAGGAACCGAAAGAGCACAGAATTAGAAAGTTATTGCTGCTAACTTGGTGTCTGATTTTCACCATACTCTTTGCCTCTCTGAGCCTTGAGACGTTCATTAGTAGAATAAAGGGGTTAAAATAAATGACCTCTGTTTCAGTTACATATTGCATCTTATAAACCACCTCCAAGACATAGTAGCTTAAAATAACAGTGCTTTCTTATTATTTACATTGTGTGGGTTAACTGGACTCAGTTGGGCCCACATAGTTTAAGCTGAGGTTACTCATGGGAATGCTATCAGCCGAGAGCTCATCAAAACAGTTTCTTATCCTCCAGGGCCTCTCTTTACCAGCTTCTTACCATTCAGGCTTCTGTATGGTGACTGGCTTCCAAGAGGACAAGCCCCAGTGAGCAAATGCTTACCAAGATTTGGTTGCCCACATTCCATTGGCTAAGACCAGCCAGATGGTCAAGCCCAGAGTCAGTGTGGAAAGGGCCTGTACATGGTTGTGAGTTCAGAGGCACGGTTCACTGGGGGCCACTAATGTAACAGCCAATCAAGACCTTTAAAGTGTCGGCACTTGCCACAGGTACTACCACATGGGGCTAGGGTCGGAATCACAAGCTAAATATGAACCCCCTTTATGTATGTTTGTCCTGCACTGTCTTTTTTATTGTTTCAAAGTTGACAGTTAACACATTTTCAAATCTGAATTTCTAAATTGTCTTGAAAAATTAGATTATCTGGTTGTATTAGATGTGCATGGCAGCAGTATGCAGGGGTTAAATAGAATTGGGGCTTCCTAGGCGGCTCTAGTGGTAAAGAGCCTCCTTGCCAATGCAGGAGATCTGCTGCTGCTGCTGCTAAGTCGCTTCAGTCGTGTCCGACTCTGTGCGACCCCATAGACGGCAGCCCACCTGCTCCGCCATCCCTGGGATTCACCAGGCAAAAACACTGGAGTGGGTTGCCATTTCCTTCTCCAATGCATGAAAGTGAAAATGAAGTCGCTCAGTCATGTCCGACTCTTCGAGACCCCATGGACTGCAGCCCACCAGGCTCCTCCGTCCATGGGACTTTCCAGGCAAGAGTACTGGAGTAGGGTGCCATTGCCTTCTCTGAAGGAGATCTACAAGATGCAGTTTCCATCCCTGGGTCAGGAAGATCCCCTGGAGAAGGAAATGGCAACCCACTCCAGTATTCTTGCCTGGGAAATCGTATGGACAGAGGAGCTTGGCAGGCTACAGACCATAGGGTTGCAGAGAGTCAGGCATGACTGAAGCAACTTAGCACACATGCACGTGAATAGCAATTCCCTTCTTTATGTAAAGCACGAACTCTATAGATTGCCACTGTTAGCACTGTTCCCTGTTGCCTTATATCTGCATCTTGTTTAACTTGTACACTTAACCGGTATAGATATTTGAGTTCGCAACCTTGGGCATTGGAACTATAATGGAGATAACTCAAGGTTTCTACCCTTTTATTAAAACCATATCCCACCTTAAGAGGAAAAAAGTACTAATATTATTGGGTCAAATTCTAGGAGCTCAGTGAGGTGAAAAAGTTGTGTATATGATAGAAATCATTCCCAAGCTGTATAAGAGGCAAGCTGAGCCAAGACTTATCACTGTGCTCTTTCCTCTCCTCAAACAACTACTTAGGTACTTACATATTTTTTTAATTGCTTCAGGCTTGATGGCAACTGGCAATTAGATTTGTCATAGACAATGGCAGAAGACCATGGGGTTTATATGACATGACAAAAACAAACTGATACAGGTCCATGATCCCTCAACCAAAACCTTGAGGTCCAGATATGCTTCAAAATTCAGAATTGTTCATATTGTACAAAGGCAGTGTGATGTACGTACTGTATATATAATGTGATACTCCCAAGAGGTCTCGGACAGCATTTCATAATCAAATACATACATTTTTCTGTAGCAGAGCCTGTAAGTGCCTATTAGCAATTTATAGCCTCTCAGTTCCAAATCCACCCTTCCTTTCCATGATTTGAAATACTAAGTGGGACCTTGTAAATATTGCCAGCTGACAGTGCTTAACTTTGTCAATAGAGAGCCCTAGAGGGAGGCAGCCAAATGAAGGGTCTTCTGTTCCCTGTTCCAGAATAGTCTCTTCCTTCTTGCCTTTGTGGCACAGCAGCAAATGGCTTGCAGAACCCACACATGCACACGTGTGGTTGGAACATCAGAGAGTGCTTCCCAGTGAGTTCAGTGGCACCTTAGCAGGCAGTTTCCTACTTGCCAGCCCAAACCTGTAGCACCTCAGCAAACTTCACCATCCAGTGGGCCATAACTATCCTCTCTCTAGTAAGGTTTGAATCTCATCCTAGCAGTGGGGGTGGGAGGATTCTTCCGAGTCTCTTCCCTTGAGTACTCTGCCTCAGTCTCAAAGGTAGTGGCTTCTCCCTGTAACTGCTACTTCTGTATTCTTTGGAGTTGTCTTTACTCCAACACCCTGTTACTAGTTAATAATGTTTTATATTAAATTTTCCCAAAAGAGAGTATGGCAGATGTGAGCGTATGTGATTTCCAAGACTGGGTCATGAGAGTTGTGGGTCTTCCCTTGTTCCCTCTGTCTTGGTTACTCTGGAGGAAGCAAGCTGTCGTGTCATGATGACACTTAAGCAGCCTTCTGTAATACCTGTGTGGTAAGGAACTGAGGCCACCTGCCAACAACCTTTCCAGACCTGTGAGTAAGCCGTCTTGGAAGCCATCTCTTCCCACCCCAGTTGATCCTTTAGATGACTAGTCCTATTCAAAACTTGACCTCGTGAGAGACCCTGAGCCAAGACCCACCCACCTAAGCCATTCTTCAACTTCTGCCCTGCAGAGGCTGTATGAGATAATAAATGTTTATTATTTTAAGCTGCTAAATTTTTAGATAATTTGATAGGCAGCAACAGAAAGCTGGGAGTTACCCCCCCAAAAAAGAGCTAGTTCAAATACTGAACTTGGTGAGTTCTCTTGTAATCAAGGCACCATAAATCCTTAGTAGGGCTTTGTGTCTTTCCTTTTCTTATGTATACTCTTGAAGGTAAAGAGTGGTATTTTTAAATGGTGTGTTTTGACCTGTGCTGACTTTTCTGAATTCAAATATGTTGTAAAGAAGGATAGTACAGTGAAATTTTGACCTAACTCATTCCCAACTATGTAAAGAACAAAATTCTCTTGAAGAAGAATCTTGTGAAACTAAAGGAAAGAGTATGTTGGGAAGTATTGAAGGTAGGAGCCCCTTATTTTATCCACATGACAAGGTTCTCTGCCTTATCCATTTAAGCATAGAATCTAGAAAAAAAGATGGTTGTCATGATATCCTTGCTGCTGCTGCTAAGTCGTTTCAGTCATGTTGAACTCTGTGTGATCCCATATTAAGTACATTTATTTGAACTGGAAAGATAAAGCCATACTTTTTCTAACTTGGCTGACTGATTTGATAGCACCACTAATAGATGTTACTAATAGATGAGGTAAATCTTTAGTTCTGTAATTTTTAGGAAGATACATTTAAAGCACATAAGGAAAAACATTTCATCAATTAATTTACTGGCAAATGTATTGAAATTAACATTTGTATCTTCCCTACCAATTTTTTTTTAACTTATTGAGTTACATAAGACCTCCATGTGAAAGGAGGGAAAAAAGGTTGTATTAGAGTGGAATACACTATGCCACCATGGCAAAGTATCTGTGCATCATTCAGAATTCAGTCAGGGAAACAGAACCAGTAAGATGGTTACTAAGGGGCTTTTTTTACAAGTTGACCTCACATAATTGTCCAGTTTAGTTCAGCAATCTCTGTAAGGTTGTAGTTTTTGTGTTGATGCTGGATTTTCAAGTCCACAAGGCAGGCAGTCAAGACAAGAAGACAGATATAAGGTGGGGGAGAGCAGGCATAAAAGTCAGACAAAACCTGTCAATTCTCACTGCCCTGACCTTGATGGTATATATGTCTTGCAGAGCCTGGAGCCCTTTGTCAGGTAACTGAACACACACACCTGCCCAGGAACTGGAGAAGCTGGAGGAGTCTCTCGAGGAAGGTGGAGTGATGGCAGACCCAGCTGTTCCTCACATGAAGGAGGTGAGTGAGCAAGCAGATCAGTGACAATGTATGTGGGCTACAGAATGACTGCAGTTTCACTTCCATCTTCCAAATCCTGGCATCTGGTGGCTCAGCCTGATCAGAACCATAGAGGAACAGAATTTGGAGAAATGCAGTTTAGCTTAGTCAAGCTGACATGGTGCTCAGTTTCCACACTCTGGAAACATAGTGGCATTATATATATGCCTTGTTCATACAAGGTCTAATGGAGTCAGCTGGCCTTCCATCTTATATTACTGTACACCATCTAGAATCCATGGTCTCTGGTATTTCTGGGATAGAGGAAAAGCTCACCAGCTTATTCAGAAACACATTATTCCTGCTCACTGTTCATTAGTCAGTACCTAATCATGTGGCCCTAAGAAGCTGCGAAGGAAGCTGAATTTGATGAACACAAAGGAATTTTGGTAGAGGATCTGTGCTATACCAGTAAAATTAATATTCATTTCATAAATCTTGGTTAAGATTTTTTAGTACATTTCCCAGAAATGGAGAAAAGGAATTTCTCCAGTGAATATACAAAAAAATGATTTTACTAGTCAGGTGGTTTCCAATACTTTGCTCTCAAAAAAATTGGAGGATTGAATTGAGTTTTAATGATAATTTAAGATAATTTTGCTAACAGACCACTATGTAGTATTTGACATGACAACTTAGAAATAATCTTTAAAGTGGCATGCTATTTCTGTGAGAAATGTTCATTCTTCTATGAACAAGTCTTCTTAGTACTAACATCTATAAAAATAAAATCTAAAAATATATTTATATTTGACACTGAACCCTGTCTCATTCTAACAACAAGTAATATTCATACTTGGATATGCAAACTACTTTTTAAATTATTTGTTGATTTAAAAGATATAATTCTAATAAACTTCTGTGTTTATCTTTAATCATTTAACTTCAAATGTACTTATTGTTTAATCAATTGCATTTAATAATAATTAAATTATCATGTTAATTTAACCCAGAAAGGTTTTTTTCTACTAATAGGTTGACCCTGTGGCCACAGAAAATACAAATTACAGCATATAGAAGACAAGTATGATAGGGTGATCAATAAGAGACTTTCAAGCATTAGAATATGTTTGGGATAAAATTAGGGTAAAATTATCTGTGGAAGATGGAATGGAAATATGAGTTCAGGGAGGGAAAAAAAGAATATTAAATTTCCTCCTATTGGAAAAGAGCTTATTCATGTGTATTTTTGAAGGATGATGGTATAAAATTGTTACTTAAATTTCATTGAGAAGAGTAATGAAACAATTTTTCAGTATCAACACACTGAAAATTCTTTTCATCTATTTATGCTGAAAATTTTAGATACCAGTTTAAGAAATGAGTAACTGCATAATGTTTGAAGATTTGAAGTGGGTGGTGACATAAGCAGAAAGGGTTAAAGATTACTGCTGTATATCACTGTGGTGACTGAAGAAAGGGCTTTGCTACTCTGAATGCCAGAATCTGAAGCCTTCAATCTTGAACAAGACTAGACATCTGCCAAGAAGTCCTTGACCTAAATGTGAAAGAATCGGATTTGGATAATATCCCTCCTCAATAATTATGGGGGACTCCTCTGGTGGTCCAGCGACTAAGACTCCTTGCTCCCAATGCTGGGGTTCAGTCCCTGGTCAGAGAACTAGATCTCACAACTAAGACTGTGTGCAGCCAAATAAATAAAAATAAATGTTTTAAAAAATTTAATAGCCAAAGACATACTTATTGAAATAACCATCAGATAGTCAATCCTTTTGTCCCACTTCTAACTCCTGAGTAGCTGCATGCAGGCTACCCACCCTACCACTGAAGGCTGTTAAGAGTCTAACTACAATACACCTTTTCAAAATCATTTCTTTCTACTTTCCCCACCTCATGTTCTGGCTCTTCACATTTCCCTCACAGCCGCATACTTGCTCAGATCACTCTCTCTGGCATTTCTTCTCCCATGCTAGGGAGGATGAGGTGGGTACTAGCAAATGAGGTAAGAAATGAGAACTGACAAGAGCAAAATTCAGAAAGTTTGGTAAGAGTTTCTTTTGCCAAAGCCTATCCCAGGCCCTTCTGGAGGCTCTGAACAGCTTCGAGGGTTCCAGGTATTAAGAAATGTATCCTAAGGAATATCCTAAATTCTGAAGAAAGATATAGATAAGATATAGACACAGAGGGATGAAGTTATGTAGGGATTTCCTGATGAACTAAATTCTAGCTGGAAGAACAGTTTATATGACTGAGTTTCAGGCATGAATCCCAATGAGTTGTGCTCTTGTATTCAAGTATGGTCCGGTTCCTGGCCTTATTTTGTCCCTCCCACCTGAATGGAAGTGTTGTGTGTCTGCCTTTTGCCTTTTTTCTGTCTGCTAGAGGAACTTTGTAACCAGTTGGGGCTCAGAATTACCAAACTTGGAGTGAAGTGTCTGCACCAGGACCATTATCCATGTAACAGGATGTTAAAACACAACTCTTTTTTCAGTCCAGGATTTCAGTTGTGGCCTCAGCCAAAAACAATAGGTAGTGTCATTTTAATGCAAAGTCTTACACGTGAAGTTTGGAAGATCTGTGAAGAGACTGTTGCAAAAAAAGAAAGAAAGAAAATCCTAGGAAATTCCCTGGTGGTCCAGTCGTTAGGACTCTGCGCTTTCACTGCTGAGGGCCCAGATTCATTCCCTGGTTGGAGAACTACACTCTCACAAACCTCACAGTGCAAGGGAAAAAAAAACCAGTTCTGCCAGCTAGTAAGCCCATCCCTGATTTTGAGGGTGTACAGGAGAGCCATGGAGACTGATTGGCAGAGGTGTGAGCGGATTTAGAGAATTTTTCCCTCCCAGTTCTGTGCAAGTAAACCCATATGTGTTCCCTGAAGTTGTGAGACATGTGCACTGGTTCCTCATCCATGGGTGGGAAAGTAAGGACATAGGCCAAAGGCTGAGTGGGAGCAGGCTGTGGCCACAGCAGAAAATGCCTGTCTTGAGAAGGCTCATACTTCCTGAGTTCTGAGGGACAAAAGTGCATGGTTTGTGGGAGCCAGCTGTAGATTTCGAAAGAAGATTGTCTTGAAACAGTTGCTGACCAAGAAGACCATCTGAGGGGCCAGTGTGATCTCAACAGGTGTGCTTTGTTGGGGGAGTGCCCCACAGAAAGTCAGAGGTTAAGAGAGGTTTCAGGTATCTGGCCAGAGGAGGTATGTCTCATCTGAGAATAACAGGAACCCCAAAAAGTGGCCCATGAGAGCACTCTGATATGAAATACCCAGGACATACAGGTGCCAGATTATAACTGGGCTAGTCAAGACATCTTTTCCCCTGCCTCAGATAGAATTCCTCAGATGCAGACCCTGAGTCAAGGATACTGTAAAGGGCTCTATTCAGGAGTGATCCTAGCACCCTGTAACCTGTTAGGAAAATAAGAAAGGGAAGTTGCGCTTTCAGGCAGAGCTCCTTGGAGAAGAGTTTGAGCTGCAGACTGATCCTGGCGTGGTGCTCCACACCCCTCAGAGTCTCGTGACTGGAGCGCGGGAACTTGGCTGTCCTGGTCGTGGGTCAGCAGGCTGCCCCTCTGCGCTTCTGGCCCTGTGCAGAGCGTCACCGGCACAGGAGGGCCGTCCTCCACGTAGCAGTTGGTGTGGGCCTTCGGAAAGGAAAGCACACGAAGCCAGGGGAGGAGGTTAAAGGGATCTGGGTCTGAGCACTCACAGCCCCTGCTGCAGATCACCCTGCACACTGTTCAGATCCACTTGTTTTTTACATTAAGTTCACCTCATCACAACTTCTTCAAGATTTAGATTGGTCAGTTTCTAGGAGAAAGATTAGAAGAAGGATGTTAGGGATAAGCAACAGCTCTCACTGCTGCTGTTGGTACCAAGGCTGTAAATAATAATTTGTCATCTTCCTCTCTCTGTTCTGGATTTCCTCCTTTATACTGCTATAAAGTATAGCAGTATACTTTATAAATATATATATATATATACACATGTATATACTTTGTATATATACAGTATACTTTTTGACTGTACTGCTTCTGCTACCCTAGGTGGCTTGCCTTGAAGTGTGTCCCAGATCTTCATCCATGAGAGGTCTGGGGCCCTGGATACGCATACCTTTATGAAGTTGGGATTGCTGGGATTGGCCATTCCCCATTACAGCTGGCCTGGGGGAGAACAGGGCTCTCGGAGCTAGGACCTCTGGGCCGTATTTGGCCCCGGCTCTCACCCTTATTCACAGGAGAACAGAGCACAGCCCTGCTCAGCTCCGCTTCACAGTGATATGTCACATCTACCCAGTCCCCGAGACTTCTGTGTCCATTTCTGTCTCATTTTACTTCTGTAATCCCAGTGTGTCCATATTAGTTTCCTGTGGCTGCCACAACAAATGACCACAAACCTAGTGGCTTCAGACAGCAGAAGTGTATCCTCTCACCATTCTGGAACCCAGAATTCTGAAATCGAGGTGTAGGCAGGACCATATTCCCTCAAAGGCTCTAAGTGAGATTCCTGTCTTCCTCTTTTGGTTATTTTTCCTCTATTTTTTAGTTGTGGTGAAATAGGTGTGCATTATCATTTTAACCATTTTTAAGTGTACAGTTCAGTGGCATTAAGTGCACTCACATAGTTGTGCCACCATTGCCACTATCCATCACCAGAAATTTTTTCCCAAACTGAAACTCCATAGCCATTAATTAATAGCTCCCTGTTTCCCCTTCCCAAGCCCCTGAAAACCACTATCCTACTTTTCCATCTCCGTGAATTTGACTATTCAAGGCACCTCATGAAATAGAATTATGCATTATTTGTCCTTTGAGACTGGCTCTTTTCACTTAGTATATTCTCAACGGTCATCCATGTTGTAGTATGAGTCCGAAGTCCTTCTTTTTTAAGGCAGGACTTAACATATAAGAAAGGAATAAGTTGTATTCCACTGAATGTGTGTGCCACATTTTTGTTTCTTTGTCCTCCCATTGATGGACACTTGGGCTGCCTCCACCTTTGGGCTTTTGTGGATAATCCTGCTATGAGCATGTGTATATAATACCTTAAGTCCCTGCTTTCGGTTCTTTGGGGTATATACTCAGAAATGGAACTGCTGGATCACATGATAATTTTATTTTTAGTTGGGTGAGGAACTGCTACACAATTTTCTGCAGCAACTGTCATTCTACTTTCCCACCAGCAACATACAAGGGCTTCAGTCTCTCCACATTCTCACCAACAACTGTTATTTTCTGCTTTTTGATGATAGCTATCCTAATGAGTGTGAAGTGGTATATCCCCTGGTTTCAATTTGTATTTCCCTTCTGATTACGTGACATTGAGTATCATTTCATGCTGCCATTTGCATATCATCTCTGGAGAAATATCTGTTCAATTCCTTTACTCATTTTTCAACCCAATTATTCTTTGTCTTGTTGGTGTTATTCTTGAGTTGTAGAAGTTCTTCATATATTATGGATTTTAATTTCTTATCAAATATATGATTTAAAAATATTTCCTCCAATATTTTCACTCTGTTGATAGTGTCTGATGCACACAAATTATACATTTTATGTAAATATTTTTCATTTGCTGCCTGTACTTTTGGTGTCAAAGCCAAGACATAACTCCCAAATCCAGTGTTATGAAGCTTTTCCCATTTCCTTCTAAGATGTATAGTTTTAGCTCTTACATTTAGGTCTTTTATCTCCCTTGAGTTCATTTTTGTGTATGGTATAAAGTAAGGGTTCAATTTCATTCTTTTGCCTTTTTTGCCTCTTCCAGCTTTTGGTGGTTCTTGGTTCCTTTTATTGTGGAAACATAATTCCAATTTCTGTCTCTGTCTTCACATGGCCGCCTTCTCTTTGTCTCCATGTTTCTCCTCTGTGCCTGTATCTTGTAAGAAATCCATCATTGGCCCACGTTAATCTGAGATGATCTTAACTTGAGATCTTTAACTTAGTTGTGTCTGCAAAAACACTCATCCCAGATAAGGTCACATTCTGAAATTGTATGTAGAAATATTTTGGCAGGTCACTGTTCAGCCTGCTACAATGTCCATTCTAATCTCCTTTGCTACAAGCAATTTTGTTACCAGTGCTTTTGTTCCTTTTCCTTAGAAGAATCTTTGACATCCTCTGCCACATCCCACTTAAAGCACTCCATTCAATGCAGTTAGCGCCAGATGCTGACCTACTGGCTTTTTAGCTGTATCTGTTCATCATTTTCTTAGTGGTTGTTCCAGGTTTTGCAGTATACCACCTTAACTTCTCAGTGCATTTACGATTAATATTTTAACACCACCTAAAATATAGAAGCCTGGCAGCATATGGATGCATTTATCCCTTCCTGTCTTTTACGCCATGCTTAGTCACGGCAGTCATGTCCAGCTCTCTGTGACCCTGTGGACCATGGCCCGCCAGGCTCCTCTGTCCATGAGATTCTCCAGGCAGGAGTACTGGAGTGGGTCTTTTATGCCATAGGTGTCATATTTATTAATATTATGTCTAAACACATTGTAAAGCTCACAAGGCAAAGCTCTACATTTTACTTTAAATAGCATTTCTTTTAAAAGTCAGACGAAACACTAATCTTCTGTGTTTGTCCAGTTATTTACCGCTCGTGATTCTCTTTACTATCTTGTGCACACCCAGCTCTCTACCTGCCTCGTTT